TGGGGGGGGGGGAAAGGGACCTCCCCCCCACCAGCAGGGAAAATTGGGGGGGGGGGAAAGAATGGGGGGGGGGGGGTCAGGAGGAACTGGCTCAGCATGAGAAGTCTTTCCCGAGGTCCAGCGGGGGGGGGGGGGGGGTGTCCCACCATCCACCCTGGCCCTTTCTCTCACCAAGATGACCCTGTCGCCCACTTGCAACGTTCCTTCCCGGTGGGCAGCCCCCCCGTCTGCAATCCGGGAGATGAAAATCCCCTGCGAAGGAAGGGCTGAATCACTGAGTGTCCGAGATGAATCGCAGAGGGTCCCAGCTTCTGCCCATGGGGGTGAGGGGGAGGGCTCCATCCATTCAGAACAGATTCTCCAAGTCAGCAGGGCCCAGGAGTTCTTCTCCAGGGGAAAGGGGGTCAAGTATCACCCTCAGGAAAGGGCTACCCCTCCCGCTCTCCTCTCACCATGTCGCCTGGCCGGTATGGGGTAGAGCCCTTGCCGCCAGCAATGCTGAAGCCCAGGCCCCGCTCGTTCCGCACCAGGCAGGCCGAAAGGCGCTCGGTCGTGGTGGTGTCTTTAGCCCCCACGGCTAATTGCAGCCCTCCACGCCATTCCCGCGGGCTGTAATCATCTTCGGGCCGCAGTGGCGTCACCGTGATGGCGTTCTCAGGCTCCACCATCCGCTCCCGCAGCACTGTCATGGAGACACTGCTGCCCGAGCCCCGGAGGGCTTCCACCGCCACGTGATGCTCAGCACCGTGCAGGGACACCCCATTCACCTGGGGGGCAGGGAGAGCCCCCTGAACGAGCGTCCGTGGAGGACCACGCCAGCCCCCAAACCTTAGGCCCTCCAGGCGGCTGGACCAGGGACAAACAGGGCAGAGCCGGCAGTAGCCACCGGAACGGGGTGGCCACTGGCCCCAAAACCCTTTGGCCAAGACAGGCAAGCTGGAACAGCAGTGGGCCACCACCACTGCCTCCAGCACCGCGGGCCCTCCTCAAGCCAGGCCTGGCACAGCACCTAGTCCTCCCAGAGGCTGCCCCCATGACCTACCTCCAGGAGCTTGTCCCCCACACGAACCCCAGCCTGTGCTGCTGGGCCCTCTTCCGACACACGGGAGATGAAGACACCCTAGGAAGTGGGGGGGGGAGGGGGAGAGGTCTGTAGGAACTGGCTCCCTCCAGCAGCCACCCCAGGGCACCCACCCCCGAAAGGCTGCCCCCGACCCTCACCTCATCGTCTCCCTTGTAAGGGGTGGAGCCTTTGCCTCCTGCAATGCTGATGCCCAGGCCGCCCGTCTCCCGCACGATCGTCAGAGCCAGCTGGAAACCAAGCAGAGGGGCGGACGGGAGCAGTGGGTGGAAGGGAAGGGGTCCCAGCCCTCCTCCTATGTCACCCGGAGGGCCCTCCACCCCCTGGGTACCCATCTGCTTGGCAGGGGAATCTCTGCCTGGAAAGCCTGCTGCAGACAAGCAGCCAGCCAGGAGCCTTTGCCTGGCCAGGTGCCCTCCTGACTCAGGGCAGGCCAGGGAAGAGGCTGGCTGTGAGGCCAAGGGGTACGACTGGCCAGGCAACAGACACCCCCACCCCACCCCCGCTAGAGATCAGAGGCACTGAAGGGGGAGGCCGGGAGGGAGGAGGGCAGAACCAGGGAAGGGGGGGGGGGAGAAGCCATGGAGGGACCGAGGCCAAGCCAGCCAGTCAGCGACTGCCACACCTTCCACAGACTGCTCTGGTTGCCCCCCCCCCCCCCAATGCACCCTCATCCATGGCAACCAGGCACAATGGGGGAGGGAAACCCCTGGCGAAGCTGCCCCCAGCCTTCCTCCTTTGCAGAAAGTGCCCAGAGCCCCCTGCCCAGGAAGCCAGCAGCTCCCCAGAGGACCCTGTGGGGCTGGACAGGAAGCAAAGGGGCAGAGAGAGGAAAGTGGAGGAGGGGGAGGGGAGCCCAGGTGCCCAGGTGCCCAGGTAGAGACAGAGGGAAAGCTATTCTGACCTGAAGCCCCGAGGACCCCACCCCACCTTTTCTGAAAGCAGGAGACAGGCCAGAGGGAGAAGCCAGCCACCAACGCTGCACCGGGCTTGACAGGAACAGGGAGAGGCACTGGAGCCGAAGGGCCCCGCCCAGCAAGCGTCAGGGGAAGCGGGGCCATCTGGTCAGAGTGGGGCTCCAGGCCACGGGGAGCAGCAATGCAAGAAGCCCAGGGGGCCACCACCTATTTCTCCTAGGGGGTCAGGAAAAGCCACCAAGCGCAGCTCCCGAATGCTGGGCCTAAGGGTGACCCCAGAGCCCCCCAGGAGGAGGAGGAGGAGGGGCTGCCCCCGTCAGTAAGGAAAGTGTCCCGCCCGCTCCGGGCCCTCTTCTCCCTGAGGGGCTCAGTGAGCCCCCTCCCCAGCTGAGGCAGAGGAGAGGAGGCCAGGGGAGAGGGGAGGCAGGGTGGCCCAGGAGCCCCACCAGAAGCTCCGGCCCCACCAGGGAAAGAGACAAACCCACCCGGCGGGGCGGTACACACCTCTTCCTCCTCAATGCGAGCGGGCTCAATCAGCAGATTATTGGCTTGGTCAAACGACACCCCCTGTTAGGACAGCAACCGGCAGAGGCAGAGGGCAGGTTAGTGGGGAAGCCCCAGACCACCACCGGGGAGAGGCAGGCAGGCAGGCAAGCAGGAAGGCAGGCCCCACCCAGCACCGAGAGACCACACCAGAGACAGAGAGAGAGAGAGAGAGAAGCAGGGAGAGAGCAAGAGCAGGCAGGGGAGGGGCTCCTCCTCATTGTCCCCCCCAGCAGGAGGAAAAGGCCCCCTCCTGCCCCTCTTGCCAAGGCCAGCAGAGCGCGAGAGGGCCAGTCAAAGAGCTGCACTGACTGGAGCCAGCCTCAACGGCCGGAGGCCCTGCCGCTGGGGGGACCAGAGACAGCCAGGCTGCTCTGGGCCTGGGGGCAAAGACTCTGTGCCTTGGCCCAGGAGGGCATGCGTGCCAGGGACTCCCCAGCAGGGAGAGCAGCGAGCAACGGAAACCCCGGCTGCGGTCCACCTGGGACCCCTTCCCCATCCTCCAAGGGGCTGCCAAGGGGGCCCAGAGTGTGGCCAGGTGCCTTTGCCTCATCTCCCAGCAGTCCAGCGGGTGAACCAGGAGGGAGAAGGCCTGGCTCTCCGCCCAACATCGCTGCCTGGCCTCCTGCCAATCCCCCTCCCAGGAAGCCCCTCACCTTGACCGAGGGTGGAACTGCTGTGCCCCCCTCGCTGACCGCCTCTTCCTGGCCCCACCCCGCCTGCTCCGGGGCCTCCTCCTGCTCTGGCTTCTCCTCTTCCTCCTCCTGAGGGCTCCCACTGGCCCCGAAGCCCTGCAGGAGGGCCACCACCGCCTCCGGGCGGGGCAGCTGAGCAATCCGGAAGTGCTTCTTGTAGTGGGGTGTGTCCTTGCGGATCAGCCGCTGCTTTCCTGCGGGGATCGGGGGTGTCTCCTCGTCCTCATCCTCACTGCGAACCAGGGTGTCCTCTGCGAAGTGCACCGTGGGCTGTAAAGAGACCACCCGCCAGGGCAGAAAGGGTGAAGCCGGCCCCTGCCAGGCTGCGGGGGGAAGCCAGGGGCCACCCTGCCCGCCAGTCAACCCCTCTGGGCTGCCTGAGAAAGCCATGCGTGTGACAAGGGAGGGGAGGGGCGTCTCTCGCACCTGGGAGACGTGGGGAGGGAGGGTTCAAGCTGCTCAACTCCACGTTCCAGAGGTGCTGCTGAACCCCCCCCCCCTTCTGCCAGGGTCCCCCCAGCAGTTGCTCTTCAGCTGCAGTGTCCCCCCCCCCCGGGCACAGGTGTGAGCAGCCAGACAGAAGAGGGGGTGTCCCCCTCAGTTGCAGCTCCTCCAGGCCGCATGGAGAGGCCTCCGTCTGGTGGGAGAAGAGTCGCCTGTGGCCCACTGCTTCCCATGGAAATGCCCCGGGGAGCGGAAAATCCCTGCCCCTCCCCTTGGCTAGCGAGAGAGCCCGGAAGAGGCCGAGGGAGCTGGCGGGCAGGAAGAGCACCTGGGCGAAAACACCCGAGGCAGCTGCACCTTCCCTTGCCTGGGGTGGTTTTCCCCTTGCCAGCCCCGAGGTCTTTAGGGGCATCTCGGCTGTAGGACGGTGGCAAAGGCCGCAGGCCCCTCCACTCCAGGATGGAAGGCTCAGGGGCCGAGAAAAGGAGGCCCGGGCGGCCCTTGCTCTCCATCGGCCTTCCTCCAAGCTGTGGGCTGGGCCACCGTGCCCCCCCCCCCCCCCCGGTTCTCCTGACCCAGGTCATAAAGGAGAACCCTCTGCTGGTCGGAAAGAGGCCGGGAAAGGACTCGGAGGAGCCGGGCAGGGGCAGCCACCCTGCCCTCCTTCCCAGCTCCGCTGTCAGGCGAGGGGGAGGGAAGGTGGGAGGGCCCCATCGGACGCATGGCCGACTGGAGACCCAGCAAAGCTCCTTCGCTCTTTCCCTCTGGGCAAAAGTCATCTGATCGCCTGAAGCTCCAGGCAGCTTACAGCAACGGAGTGTTAAAAAGGAAGAAGCTTCCGGTCCTGGAAGAGCAGCTGGCCAGAACCAGAATCCTCCCAACATCGTGGCCTTCACCGCCTGCTGCCCTTCCTTCGCCCGCCCCGCCCCACTCCAGGGCTGCCAGGAGGCTTTCGGAGAGAAGCAAGCGCTTTGCCCAAAAGGGCCTGGGAAGGCTTCCACCCGAATTGCAGGTGCCCACCGTCCGGAGGCCTCTGCTCATGCCAGCTCGGCCAGCAGCCCCAGGCACAGCGAGCAGAGCGACCGGGATGCGGGGCCCTTGGAGGAGCTGCCTTGGGAGGCCTCCCGGCTCCTACCTCCGAGTACTCCAGCTCCTCCTCCTGGTCCTCGGCCGTCTCCTCCAGCGTGGCCACCTCCTCCGGGGGCACTTGGCCTTTTTCTTCGGCCACCAGCTTCCTCCCTCCCTCCAGTGGAGCCTCTGCGGCTGCGCCCTCGGCCTGCTGCGCCTCTCGCCCCTCCTCCAGGCTGCCGCTGGCAGAGAGGGTGCTGCCAGAGACGTGAGAGTCTTCGCTGTGGTTGGAGGTGGCACTCAGCCTCTTGCCCTGTGTGGGAGAGGAGCCGGTTGAGGACCTGGGCACTGCCTTGCCGATGTTGGCAACCCTGGCGGCCCCAGGGGCACCACAGTCACTTTGGGAGGCCTCCCCTCGCCTGCCAGGAAAGGGAAGAGCAGGGGCAAAGGTCGGGGGCTGGAACCTGAGGCCACTCTTCCCAAACCACAAACTCCTTTCCGGGATCTGGAGAGAATAAATGGGGGGCCTGGCAAGGTGACCAAAACATCCCCCCGTCTGCTGAACAAGCCGGCCGGGACCCTCAGCGGAACGACAGGGTCAATGGTAGAGGACCCCACTTTCCTCACCAAATTCCCAATTTAAAACTGAAGCACTGAAGTGCAAGGCATGGGGGAGGCCCCAGGGGCCCCAGGGGCCGGTGGCTGCTCTCTTTGGAGTCCTCTCCAAGGGACCGGGCTGGTGCGGTGGTCGAGGCACCCGTGAACCAGGGGCCGAGCGGGCATCTCTTTGCTAGGCCACCTGACCCCTGGCAGAAGCCGCCCACCTCAGAGTTAGGGGAGTCCCGCCTAGCTGCCGCGGAGGCCTCACTGCGTCGCACTTCCATTCCCTTCTTCATGGACTTCAGCTCGCTGGGGTGCGGAGTGGCTCTGCGCTGCAGCCCCTGCCAAAAGCATGGGGGGGGGAGGGGGGAGAAGCGGGCAGGTGAGGGCATGGCGAGGTTCCTCCGAGGCTCATCAGCTCCAGTTGCTCCCTCCAGGAAACAGCATCCCCCCCTCCCCTTCCGCCAGCCAGCCAGGCCAGTGAACCCCCCCCCACCCCACCCCCGGCTGCCAAGCCCTGCTCCTCTCCGTCGGCCATTACCCTCTTCTCCGTGCCAGCCTCCTCCTCCTCCTCCTCCTCCTCCATTTGGGAGTCCTCCAAAAACTGGATCACACTGACCCGGTTGGGGTTGGCCTCGGCCCAGCTCTCCTCCAGGCTGTTCTGCAGGAGGTTCTCTGCAAGGGAGACCGAGAGGGATGCTGGAAGCGAGGGTGGGCTCCCCCCCCCGCCCACCCCAGAGAGGCTGGGCCGTGGGGCCCCCTTACCTGAGCTGGCAGGTGGTTGCTGGGGCAGCAGGTAGCAGGTGAGCACTTTCTCCCCCGTCTTCTCATCCTCCTCTGTCTGGAACCGGAGCATGGGCTGCGACTGGTTCTCTGCCAGCCAGAGGGCCTTCAGGTGCAGGTTGGTCAGTGCGAAGGGCAAGTGCTGCAGCCTGTGTCCGTGCAAAGCCATCAGGACGGGGGCTCCCTTTGTCGTCCCCCCCCCTCCCCAATCCGGTCCAAAAGCTACCAGTTTAAATAGGGAGGGCAGCTACTCTGGCAGCAGCAAGGGCTCAAGACTTCCCCCCCCCCTACATGGGGGTGGGGGGGCTGTGAGAGCTCTGGGCAAAGTGAGTTGTCTGTCTGTCTGTCTATCTATCTATCTATGCACAAAAGAGGCTTGGAAGGCTAGAGTGGCAGTGGCTATCAGACTCCTTTTTTTCTTTTTTTCTACTTCTTCTTTTTTTTTTGGAAAAAATGGATCAATATCCAGGTGAGGAAACCTTAAAATTTCGAAACGTCCTGGCTGGAATTCAAAATAGTTTAGAAGGATTCGGGAGATTTGAGAAGAAGTTGGATAGACTATTGTTTATCACAGCAAGAGATGATGGGGTTGGAGCCCCAAAAATTAAAGAAGAGAATGGAAATATAGAAGATAAAGACAATAGATGAACTTATTAATGGAGCAAATATGGGTGAAAGCGGAAAGAAGGGAAGATGGAAAAGTGAACTTGACAATTTGGAGCTTTATCCCAGATTTCAAGATACAGGAGGGAAAAAAGGGGTGACAATGATGGAGTTAAGAAGAGAAACCTATTCAGAAATAAGTTTGACAACCAAAGATAAGCTAATGTCAATAACAATTCAAGGGCAACGAGACTATTTGAGAGATCTTTTAAGGAATAAAGTGTGGAGAGAAGTTCATAAAAACTTTGGAAAGGAGCTGAAAAGAGAATTAACACTGGCAAGAGATATAAGACTGTTCTGCTATTGG